TGCAGGGGGCTCTGGGGGAACGCCCAGTGGGGGTCCTGAGGATCCCAGGCCATGTCTGCCTCTCCTCTGCTCAGTTCTCGTGGCCATGGAGAAGGAGGAAGAGAGTCCCTCCTCCAGCGAAGAGGAAGAGGAGGAAGAGGAAGAGCCTATTGACTCAGACTTGGAGCAAGTGAGTGGGAGGAACCTAGCTGCCTGTTCTGTCCGAGCCAGGACCCGGGACCCCAGCTGAAAGCCACCCCCTGTGCCCTCCTTTGGGCCCCTGCAGAGTCTTCTCACGCAGTCTTTGATGTCTCAGCCTCCATCTTTCCGACCAGACCTTATCCACTTTCCACCCTTCTAAGCAGAGCTCCCCTAACTCGTATCCACCGGGGGATCATTCGTGCCCTGTCCCTTATCGGCCTGACCCTCCCATAGGCCTTGATGACCTTGGCCAAAACCTCGGGCACCATGAACAAGTACCCAACGTGGCGCCGGACGCTACTGCGCCGTGCTAAGGAGGAGGAGATGAAGAGGTTCTGCAAGGCTCAGGTGAGGCCCGGGGGTCCCAGAAGTTCGGAAGGGGTCCAAGTCCTGAGATGGCAATCAGTTCCTTAAGTGCTTTATTCTAGAGCAATCCAGACTCCTGGGCCTCCTCTTTTGTACCCTGCAGGCTGTGCAGCGGCGACTAAATGAGATCGAGGCTTCTCTGAGGGAGCTGGAGGCCGAGGGCGTGCGGCTGGAGCTGGCCCTGAGGAGCCAGCACAGTGAGTGAAAGCAGACAAGGGACAGGCTGGGACGCCCCTCTGCTTCCAGCAGCGTCCAGCCCCTAGCCATCCCTCAGCCCCCTGGGCTGGGGCCCACCGCCACACCTGCAGCATTTTTTGGTCCTTGGACCCTGTCGCCCCTAAGTCTGACGCCCGTGAGCCCGGCTGGAGGCTTCCTAACCACCGGCCCCTCTTCCTTCTTCCCAGGCACCCCAGAACAGCAGAAGAAACTGTGGTTAGAACAGCTGCTACAGCTTGTTCAGAAGAAGAACAGCCTGGTGGCGGAGGAGGCGGAGCTCATGATCACGTAGGGAGTGGGGCACGTGGGGCACGCGGGAGGGATGGGGGCGTGGCGAGCCAGGCCCCGCCCTGTGGGCAGCCTGGACAGCTGTGCCTCCCCCCGTTCCTGACCTCCACAGGGTGCAGGAGCTGAACCTGGAGGAGAAACAGTGGCAGCTGGACCAGGAGCTGCGGGGCTACATGAACCGGGAAGGTAGGCGTGATGTGGCGAGCGGTGGACAGATGGCAGGGCCGGTGCTGAACAAGCCTGGGGATCTCAGGCACGGGGCCGAGCCACAGGAAACCCGTGGGTGGTGCTCCAAAGCCCCCACTCTCCCTTTAATCCAGTCAGGGCCACACAGTTGGCTTCTCTGCAGGATTTCCTCCCGAAGAGCTGCTGCTGCTCAGTGCTAGGAACGCGCTGGTGCCGAGCAACCTCCGAATCTCAGAGAGGAGGGAGCCAGGCGCGGCTGCAGACATCAGCCAGGATGGGGCTGGGTGCTGCCTCTCCCGTCCCCCTTCTCTCCTCAGAAACCCTGAAGACTGCTGCTGACCGGCAGGCCGAGGACCAGGTCCTGAAGAAGCTGGTGGACGTGGTGAACCAGCGGGACGCCCTCATCCGCTTCCAGGAGGAACGCCGGCTCAGCGAGCTGGCATCCGGGACAGGGGCCCAGGGCTAGACGAGGACGGGCTCCCCGCCTGCTTCCCAACAAGGCCGACGACCTCGGCCCAGCCAGGACCGCATCCTCCCTGCCCGGCTGGGCTGCCTGCGAGAAAGCTGCACTGTTTTCAATAAAAATGTGTCTGCCACAAACAGGGCTTGCCTTGCCTGCAGGTGAGAGGCCGGCGCCAGATGGGCGTGTAGGAGCCTGACGGGCTCCCCTGTGTGAGTCATGCCGAGCGCTGGCTCCCATCGCGACCTCCACCAGAAAGAGGGGAGAGCCACTCAAGTGTGAAACTTTATTGGTCCTTCACTCCATTCCCCTCCTGCAGCCCCAGGAGTGGAGCTGCCTCAAGCTCCGGGCCCAGGTCCTGGGCCTCCCTTGCCCTTCCCAGCACGTGCTGGAGCTCAGCCTGGGCCCTGCATAAGCCTTTGGCCTCCTGAATGTGGAAGAGGTAGATCACGCCCGCCCCCAGCACCAGTCCTACGTTGGGGGTCCAGAGCAGGACGGCCACTTCTCTGGCCCCGTCTCTTGCCGCCAGGGCACACAGCAATGCCAGGAGAAGCAGCCCCACACCGATCACGTAGCTGGCAAAGGCAGCCCACCAGCGAGCTTGGGCCATGCCCTGCCCCAGCTCTGTCCAGGCCTCCCTCAGCACACTGACCAGCGGCGACCTCTCTGCTGGTCCTAGGACGAGGAGGGCAGAGGAGGGGAGAGTGGAGGGGCTGTCCTGAGGAGCGCAAGCGCCACGGCACAGGGGAAGGGGGACTCACCAGGGGTGGGGCTGGGGTTCTGCTGCGGAGGGCTGTGCCTCACACACAGAGTGGCCATCAGGGCCTCGTGATCCGAGAGGGGGCTGCCGTTGTGAGGGTCATGGCCCGTGGTGGTTCTGAAAGTCTTGCAGGAGATGCAGAGCCCAGGAACCGCCTAGGCAAAGTCGGGGTCGCAGATTCGCTTAGGTGGGAGGGCCTCTCTTCAGAGAACCGGCTCCCAGCTCTATCCCACTCTCCCCAAGCTGCTGACAGAGGAAGAGACCAGCAGGTGAAGGCCCGGGGGAGCAGGTGCCTGACCTTGTAGAGCACGTAGTCGATGCGAATGCCACAGGGAAAGAGCTTCAGGTCCTGCTGGCTGACGTAGCAGTTCCCAGGTACCATGGTGCAGCCTTCTTCAGAGCCCTAGGGGAACACAGGGCGCATGCCAAGATCGGGGGTGAGGGGAGGGTGGGGAATGGGGAGTAGGTGGGAAAACAGCTTCTCACCTGGAAGTCCTGGGCTTCAAGGTAGGCATCAAACAGCCCTGTCCATTCCTTCAGCAGGCGACAGCCCAGGTCTTTCGGATGCATGTTGAGGTCCCCACACAGCAAAACCACGTCTGCCTTCTTGGACGTGTGGCTGGGGGAGCCGGGTTGGTGAGGCAGGAATTCGTCTCTCCCCGCTTCTGGAGAGTGGGGCCCCGGCCACCCATCAGCCCCTGCGCCCCACCCCGCTTCCCCTGTCAAGCCCAGGCTCACACACTGGATGAAATGGGCCAGTTCCCAAGCTTGGGCCACACGATGTGCGAGGTAGATGTCTTTCTGTCGACTGTACTCGGCATGCAGCTGAGCGGGATGGAGGAGAGGACCCCCGGTAAGCTGAGGGTCCCGGGGGCAGGTCTAATGCAAACTCTGTCACCTGGCACAGTGCTTATGATAAAGAATGGGTGACCCCTGCCCACTGCTGTCTTAAGAGACCCTGCCCCAACACCTCACCCCAGGCAGCACGGCTGGAGGAGCCCTGTCTCTCCATCCCAGCCCTGAGCACTGCGGGCTTCACTCACGTGGGTCACGTAGGCATTGACCACCAGTCCGCTCAGATGGAGCACCAGCAGCCCCACGGCCTTCCCACAGAACCAGTCTCCGTGGTGGATCTGCAGGGGCGGGGGGAGGCAGCAACTCAGGGCCCTGCCACCCTCTTCCTGCCCACCCCCTGCAGCCCTAGCAGGTGCGGAAGGGAGGCAGAAGAGGCCCAAGGCCTGGCGTACCATGTAGGGGTAGCCATTGAGGGTGTAGACGTGCTGAGTGGTGTCCTGGATTGGGTGTTTGGAGAAGACGCAGAGGCCACTGCCAATGATTCCGCTGAAAGCCAAGCCCTGCTTAATAACCGGAGAAGTGGGGAGGGAAATACCCGGTCCTTCCCTTCCCTTCCCTTGCCCGCCAGCTCGGAGCACCTCCTTTTTCCTCCTGCTGCTTCTGAGACCAGTCCCACAACAAGAGGATGACAAGGCGGCAAATAAGCCTGCGATAGGCGGAAGAGATAGGATCTCTCCAGGTTATCTTCTGCTCCCAGGAGCCGCAGAGAGAGAGGGAGGAAGCCAGTGGGCAGGCTGAGGACAGGGCTGGCACAGCCAGGTGCCTCCTGGTCGGAGGGCAGGCCCCTCACCTCCGGAAGTAGTGCGCGGCTGGGTAGGTGGGTGACAGCTTCTGTTTCAGGTACTGGAAGTCCTGCTCGCTCCACACCTGGGAGGAGGGCAGACGATGGCTGCCTGCGCCCCCAGCTGCCCTCCTCCCCGCCGGGTTCCGCGCCCACCGCGGCCGCACAAGCCCACCTCCTGCAGCAGGGCCAGATCGAAACTCTCCAAGTTCAGAAAGTCCCCGAGGCGCGTCAGGCGGGCGGCCCGGTGCTTGCTCAGGTAGGGGATGCCCCTGAGGAGGAGACGGGGGCTGCTGGCACCATCGGAGCTGGGGCCGGGGGCCGGCTCGGGATCGCCCTGCACCACCCCCCACCTCCCCCGGCCCTCGGGCGGCAGAGTCGAGGCCCGGCGGTGAGAAGGCCTCGCTCCCCGGGCTGCGTGGGTGCGGGTGGAAAGCCGGGACCTCACCCCCACCCCCGCCCCGGCTGCACTCCGCGGGCGCACTCACCAGTAGTTGAGGTTGAAGACCCTCAGTCGTAGCGAGAAGTTGGGCTTCATGGCGGGGACGCTCCGACGACGCCGGCCGGCTCCGACTCCCAGCGACGCCGCGCGGCGGGGGCGAGCGGGCCGCACCTCCTACCGGGCGGTGCGCGCCGGTGGGCGGCCCCGCCTCCGCGCTCCCCGGGACGCCGCGGCCCCCGCGACCCAGCGGCGCAAGCGCCCGCCAGACTCCCGCGCGCTGGCCCAGATCCCGCAGCCCGCCAGCCTGGAAAGGCGATCGGCTGCGAAACCTAGGCGCTCACTGGCCGGCGACGGCGTTGGGGTTCCCGAGACGGCGCCCGAGCAGGCGTCCCCACGCTCCAGGGCCCGGAAGCCCGCCTCCCGCCCCGCCGTCCGCGCGCTCCAGCCTGGCGCTCACTGCTGCCTCAGCAACAGGCGCAAAGTTGAGGCGAGGGCCCGCCCACCCTTGGCCCCGCCCTCGGCCCAGCCTCCTGCGGGCGTCGGGGGCGGGGCCGCGCGGTTGCCGTAGCGACACGCTGTGTTTGCGCGCTGCCGGGCAGTGCCCGAGCGCAGCCATGGCCAGCCAGCAGCCGGGGAAGCCCGGAGATACCGGGTGCGTCTCGAAGTCGCCGCCCGAAGGGCCGCTGCAGGTGAAAGTGGTGGGGCTGTTCAAAAGCTCCAGCTTTCAGATTGCGAAAAGCGCTGCTGAGGTAACCGCGAGGAGCCCCGCGTGCGCGCGGCCTCGCCGCTTCCGGGTCTCGGCGGCGCGCGCTGCGCCTGGCGCGGGCAGGGGGCGCAGGGGACGGGGCCGGCCCGTCGGGGGCTGAGGGCGCTGTCCGCGGGAGCCCGAGGAGCGTGTAGGGCACAGATGCGAGTCCCGAGCGGCCGCTGGAGTTCGAAGGAAGGGCTGAGCGACGGAAGCATAAAGAATTGCAGGGGAATCTTCTCCATACCCGCACATTTGATTCCCTGTGGTGTTTAATTGAATCGTAGATTTTAAAATTCCCTCAGAATGATGGGGGGAAGTGGTATCGTATAACCACATGGATTTTTTTACAAATTCTCTCCGTGACTGATTTCTGAAAGTCAGTCAAGAAAGGTTCTTTCCTCCAAGATTTTTTTTTTTAAATACTATTTAAAAAATTTTTTTTAGGGACAGGCATTTATTTGGCTTGGCGGTTGACCGCTGTGGACGCCCACATCCCATATCCCAGCTTCCTGCTAATGGTGTGTCCTGGGAGGCGGCAGGTGCTCAAGAGCGTGGGACGCTGCCTGCCCCGTGGGAGGCTGATTGAGCTCCCAAGTCCTGGCTTCTTGGACGTTTGGAGAGTGAACCAGAGGCTGGCAGTGCTTTCTGTTTGGGCGGGACTGGGACCCAGGCACTCCTCGGATAGGGATGTGGGTGTCCAGCTGCTGGTTGGCCAGTCACAGTTCTGAGGTTATTGTGGCAGTCACTGGATTCCATTCGAATTAGAGGCTTCACACGTTTCTTTTAATAAATGGTTCACAAGTGTTTTTGAGAGTTCATTGCAAACATGCAGAAAGGAGAACCCTTGGAGAAATCACAAGAATTTGCCCAGGTCTGTCAGGCTGCAGCACACCAACCTGAAAACCAGATGTGTGCCATTCAGCCAGTCTCTGGGGTTTGCTCCAGCAAAGTTATCCACACCAAGCTTCTGCCAGAACCTCAGGGCCCCCAGAACCATGCCTGAGGCACACGTGCGTCTTCCCTGCTGGTACTGCCCAACAGAATGTTCCCAGATAGACTTTCTCATGAAATCCATGCCACCTTGCCTGTTTAACAGAGTTAAAGAAAAGTGTCTAATTTTATCAAATCAGGAAATAACTAATTTGCAAAATAGGTAAAGTTTACATTGAGATGAAGAAAGCAATCCAAAGTCTGTGAACAAAGACACGGATCATCAAAAGAAGTAGACGTTATGGACTGTTGGATGGGCACATGGGTTTGACAATGGTCTTATGGCCAAAGTTGTATTTAATGAGTTTGAGGGAGTCTTCGCTCCTTTTCTGAAGGCACGTGTTTTCTCTGCCTGCTCCACAATGTAGAGAAAGTATTGGCAAATCCTTTAACTGAGAGCCATAGTAAATATATTCGGTGTTTTGGGCCATAAAGTCTTGGGCCATAAAGTCTCAGTCACAATCATTCAGCTTTGTTCCTGTGTTCCAAAAGCAGAAATAGAAGTGTAAATGAATGGCAGAGTGTCAATAAAACTTTATTATGGATATACTTGGTGTGTTATTTTTACTTAACATGAAATGTGATTCTTCTTTTAACTTTTATCAATTGTTTAAACATTTAAAGATATTTTTCACTTTCAGGTCTTATAAAAATAGGCAGTGGACCAGGCCTAGAGGCCACAGTTCACCATTCGCTGCTGTAGATGACTCTAAGTCAAGAAAAGAATATCTTTACTGTATTGAACATTCTAATTTCCCCTTTCTTCAGTTTTTGCCTACTGTATCTCTGTTCAGCTATAAAGACATGCTAGTGTATAGTTAGGTATTTTTTAAACAGGATGATTTTTTTAAAAAAAGATTTATTTATTTGAAAGGCAGAGAGTTGCAAAGATGGAGAGAGAGATGGGGAGAGAGATATCTTTTATGCTCTGCCTCACTTCCCAAATGGCTACAAAATCCAGGGCTGGGCCAGGCCAAAGCCAGGAGCCCAGGATTCCATCCAGGTCTTCCATGTGGGTAGCATGGGCCCGAGTACTTGGGCCATCCTCTGATGCTTTCCCAGGTACATTAGCAGGGAGCTGAATCAGAAGTGGAGCAGCTAAGACTTGAACTGGGGCTCTTTTATGAGATGTCCATGTCAAAGGCCATGGCTTAACCTGCTGTGCCACAATACTGCCATCCCCCTTGCTTTACAGAAAAGCAAAATAACTAAGAACTAGAACCAGAACTTTTTTTGTCAGGGATTGCTAACCAGTAAGTAATTTCTGATTTGTATGGATAAAAGAATGTATGTTAAATTAAGACATACTCAATATCTAAACCTAAACGTTTTTTTTAAAGATTTATTTTATTTATTTGAAAGAGTTACAGAGAGAGGTAGAGGCAGAGAGAGGTCTTCCATCCACTAGTTCACTCCCCAGATGACCACAATGGCTGGAGCTGCGCTGATCTGAAGCCAGGAGCTTCTTCCAGGTCTCCCACATGAATGCAGGGGCCCAAGGACTTGGGCCATCTTCTACTGCTTTCCCAGGCCATAGCAGAGAGCTGGGTTGGAAGAGGAGCAGCCGGGACTAGAACCAGCGCCCATATGGGATGCCAGTGCTTCAGGCCAGGGCTTTAACTCACTGTGCCACAGTGCCAGCCCCAACCTAAACATTTTTAGTATTATCTTTTTCCTAAGAGATAAAACCACAGCAGTATCTTTTCAGTCATTTGTCATGCGTCAGTGAACTAAAGGAATAAGATTTATTTATTCTAGTTACAATGAAGATATCTGTGGATCCAGTAGGTTAACAATAGCAAGAGTTTAATGTAGGGAAGAACTTACACTATAAAAACATAGCTGATCCCCAAACTATTGGTATAAACTCATTTATTTGTTCATCCATTTATTCATTTGCTATGTATGGAGCGTTCACTCTGTGCCAGGTGTGATGGCAGGTGTGCATATAGGCTGACTAAAACCTAGTCTTTGCTCTGAAGACACTTACTCTCTAGAGGTCAGAGACAAACAAGCCAGAGGCCCCAGTGTGGTCTGGCGAGTGACTTGCAAGGAAGCACAGAGCCCTGGGGACAGGCCAGGAGCATCTCCATCAGCCAGTGTGCCCTGGGTGTGTGTTGTATGAAACTTCTAAGAGCCTGTAAAAATTGGAGGAAATGATTGCAACATTACAAGAGAACCCACTCTAAAGTAACTGTTCCATTTTGAAACCTAGAGTCTGAAGAATAATTACCCAGCCAAATTTGAAGATCCTATAATAGTTCCGCTTCAAGAATTTGCTTGGGATCAGTATCTACACGAGAAAAAACGGGTAAAAGATCCTTGGGGTGCGGGGGATACTGACAACTAGCAGCTTTGTCTGAATTTGTCTATGCATTGCTTTAGAAAGACTGCAGGAGGTAACTCTCATGCAACTAGGTTTTTATTTCTCTAAATTATGTACTTTTCCTAAATTATTTCAATCATTTTCCTGGGCTGTTTTTTTAAGAGTAAAATATTTGCAGGATTTTTATTACAAAGGTAACTTTTAATCTCTCAGTGGGGGTTACCTGTGAGGAGGGTTACCCCTCTGCCTGCCCGTCACCCACTCTTTGTGGCACTGGAGCAGTTGGTGGTGTATGTCACAGCCACAGAAGGGGCTGTTGCCCGGAGGAACTCTGATGACAGGTGCCAAGCTTGTCCTAGTTGACACTTCTCTAACAGTGAACTTGGATAGCCAAACCCTTAGGGCTGGCAGGGCCTGTTCAGGGTGATAGCATGGTTTCCTCTAGGGTGCAGTTGGCCAGCACTGCCTGGGGTGTGTGATAAGGAGAATGTGAAGGTGGCCTCTGGCTCCGAGGGTGGAATGGGGTATGCCTCCTGCTTGTCATTCCTGGCCTGGTCTCAGAGAGGGTCCTGGGGCTGGTTTCCCTGCCCTACCCTTCTTCATTCCCCCAGCCAGCCAGGGCAGTTTCCATTGTGAGTGCTTGGTTGCACAAGAATGGCCTTTGGTACTGATAGTGTGGCTTTGTGAGACTGCTTCCCTATCCACTCAGTCACATGAATGGTGCAAGACTGAGTCAAGAATACCATTTGTTGAGGCTCCTACTTTCACAGCCATAAAATGTTTTCACACTTACAGTGTTTTTAATATGCTGGACACTTTTAATCATATACATACACACACAGAGATACACACATACTTCAGAAAGGTGCATCAAAAAAATTGTGGAAAAGGGATTAAAAGAAATTGTGAATTTTCTATGAACTTTTTTGAAGGTCCTGTGTGTGTGTGTGTTGTGTTTTCTAATCATATAACAACTAGGGGAACCAGTGGCCTTGGTTTGCCTGGGACTGATGGGTTTGCTGGGATGTGGGCATTTTATTGCTAAAACTAGGGCAATCCTAGGCAAACTGGGACAGTTGGTCACCCTAACATAAAACAGTATTTTTTTCTTTTTTAATCAATCATCAGACTTATCATACTGCCCAGCAGTATCATGTTGTCCACCTAGAGGAACGACCACAGTCTCACAGTGTGTACCCACCCCTGTGGCTCGTATTCTTAAAGAAGGCTGAGAGTCCATCCCATTTCCCTCCCTTTGCGGCCTGGGTTCCTGTGAGGTTTCCAGTTCTTCCCTACTGCCTGTCTCCTGAGTCTTGAATGAGGCTGTGTCATTGTCATTGCATCTTTCCATTATTCCTCGGGCTTCTCTTCCCTGTCCCCTTTCATCGCCCGGATAATTAACACCTTTCAGAGACCGTTTTTTGGTAGTTCTTCAACGTACTCATTGCATCTTGGTTACACGGAGCTTCTCAGCACGTTCGGTCTCTGGGCCTTACTTCGGTAGGCCTGGCTGGCCTCATGCTGCAGCAGAACCTACGGCCACTCTAAGGGGCTTTGGGGAACGTAGCATCATACCTGTTGGTACTGGAGAGCCCAGGAAACCCTCGGGTCCACACCACAGGTGAGGGGGCCTCCTTAGTACAGCAGAGACAGAGCATCTGCAGCCCTGGGGAAAGTGTGCTTTCTGACTGCATGTCTTCATCAGGCTAACGGAAATGCCTACAACCTAAGTTGTTCTGCCATTTTTAAAAAACTTCGGGGTCCTATAAAATAAAACACGGGTCCGTGTTAAACACCCCAGGGAGTGCTGGCACCTGGATTTCCTCAGTGGTTTACAGCTCAGTGTGAACTCTAGTCTCTGCCAGGAAGCAGATGTCAGTAAGGGGATGAGCAGCAAGCACCAGGGTATTAAGTCTCCCGAGTAACGAACAAGTTGGCAGATTGAAGGCTCGCCGTGCCCCTAACTGATTTTTCTCCAAATGCAGGCTCCAGACCAGCAGCATCCTGGGATGCTGTGAGAAATGCTGATTCCCAGGCCCCAGACCCAGCAAATCAGGGGGTCTTGGAAATCTGTGATTTCTTTCTAAATATTTATTTATTTATTTAATGGAAAGAGTTACAGAGAGAGAGAGAGACAGAGAGAGAGAGAGAGAGAGAGCACGCGCTTCTGTCTGCTGGTTCACTCCCAAAATGGCTACACCAGCTGGTGCTAGTCCAGGCTGAAACCAAGGTCTCCCACATGGGTGCAGGGGCCCAGGTACTAGGGCCATCTTCTGCTGTTTTCCCAGGCACATTAACAGAGAGCTGGATCAGAAGTGGAGCAGCCAGGGCTCAACTCAGCGTCCATACACCATGCTGGCATTGCAGGCAGTGGCTTAACCTGTGCTACAGCACCAGCCCTGATTTTTTTTTTTTTTTTAAGATTTGTTTATCTGAAAGGCAGGCAGAGTGACAGAGTGAAAGGGAGAGGCAGAGAGAGCAAGATATTCCATCTGCTGGTTCATTCTTCTAATGTCTGAAATGGTTTGGGTTAGGCCAGGCCAAATCCAGGAGCCACAAACTCTAGGTCTCCCATATGGGTGGGAGAGGCCCATGTACTTGGGCCATCTTCTGCTACCCTTCCAGGCGGGTTAGCAGGGAACTGGATTGGAAATAGAGTAGCCAGGACTCAAACCAGTGATTATATGGAATGCCAATCACATGGGAGACCAGCATTGCAGGCAGCAGCTTAATCTGCTGTGCCACAATGCCAGACCCCACACAATGAGTTTAATAGCCAGATTGCCATCTATCTTCTACAATTGTAACATTTGGAAATTATTTATTTTACTTCTTTGAAAGGCAGAGAGACAGGGAGAGCTCTTCTGTCTGCTGGTTTACTCCCCCAAAACTCCAAACAACCAGGGCTGGGCAAGGCTGAAACCAGAAGCCAGGAACTCCATCCAGGTCTCTCATGTGGGTGGCAAGTACTTGAGCCATCACCTTCTGCCTGCCAGGCACTTGAACCCAAGCATTGTGATATGGGATATAGGCATCTCAAGAAGTATCTTAACCTCTAGGCTAAATACCTGCCCACAATTGTAGCATTTTTAAGAGTACTTTTTTCAAAAAAAGATTTATTTATTTATAGAAAGGCAGAGGTAGAGAAAGAGAGAAGTCTTCCATCCACTGGTTCACTCCCCAAATGGCCACAGTGACCAGAGTTGGGCTGATCCAAAGCCAGGAGCTTCTTCCAGGTCCTTACACGGGTGCAGGGGCCCAAGGATCTGGGCCATCCTTCATTGTTTTCCCAGGCCATAGCAGAGAGCTGGATCAGAAGTGGAGCAGCCAAGACTCAAACTAACGCCCATATGGGATGCCAGCACTGCAGCCTTATCCACTATGCCACAGTGCCACCCCAAGAGTATGTTTTATAAAATTCTGTACTTAAACTGATGGCAGATTCTTAAAAATGTTATTAAATAGTTTTTGAGCAAAATTCTGAAAGATGGTAAAAATACATTTTTTAAAAGATTGAACCCTAGAGCTAAATTTGATTCTCAAATTGAACCTAGGCTCTTGGTTTGTGGATTTAGCAAGTTTTTCAGTTCTTTAACCCTCTCATCACTTTTTCTCCTATTGTCCTTTTCCTTTATAGGAACTCAAGGGTAAAACCTGGGAATATTCTGCCTTAGTGATGTGTTTTATTAACGACCAGCTCCTGGGCGGTGCGTGTGATCTGCAGAAATGGGCCCAGAAGATGTGGGACATCGTTGATGTTAAGCCGCCTGCACTTTACGATGCACTGACTCTGGATTATTCCACTCAATTCTTAAGAGATACCAAGGCAAGTTGCATTAATTTTTAAAGATAAATAGTGGCTTTTTTGATCATTTGTATTGATTTAGCATTAATTGTTGATAACCTAACAAAAGGGATTTAAAAGTGTAGGAGACTAGATTTTAAGGCCTCTGACCTTAATATGACCCAGCGTGGTGAGATTTGACTTGGTGGTGTGAATAGCTAGTGTCCTTGTCCTAACATTGCTGCTCCCCATTAGAGGTTTATTTGCATGAACTCTGCATTTTATTTTTTTAAGATTTATTTATTATTTATTTGAAAGGGAGAGAGATGGAGAGAGAGAGAAAGAGAATTTTCCATCTGCTGGTTCACTCCCCAAATGGCCAGAACTGGGCCAGACTGAAGCCAGGAAGCAGGGGCTTCTAATGGGTCTCCCACGTGGGTGCAGAGGCCCAAGCACTTGGGCCATTTTCCACTGCTTTCCTTGGTGCATTAGCAGGGAGCTGGATCAGAAGTGGAGCAGCCAGAGGCTTAACTTACACTATAGCACCTGCCCTGAACTCTCCATTTGAAAATAGAAAGACCAGGGACAGAGCTGTGGCGCGGTGGGTGAAAGCATCCCGACGCTGGTTTGAGTCCTGGCTGCTCCACTTCCGATCCAGCTCCCTGATAATGTACCTGGGAAAGCAGCAGAAGATGGTCCAAGTCCTTGGACCCCTGCACCCATGTGGGAGACCTGGAAGAAGCTCCTGGCTCCTGGTTTCAGATCGGCTCAACTCTGACCATTTCAGCCATTTGGAGAGTGAATCAGCAGGTGGAAGACGCTCTCTCTTTCTCTCTACCTCTACCTCTACCTCTACCCTTTCAAATAAAATAAATCTTTAAAAAAATTAGAAAGACCACCCCACCCCTTCAGAGACAGTCAAATCCATCATTTATCCATATGTAGTGTGAATAAGCAATACCTTGTAACGTTTCAAAGCTTGCCACCTCGTTGGCAAGAGCAGGCACAGACATGCTGTGGCATTTTCCTGTGGCCGAGGATACTGAGCAGCAGGAGGGCGGGGGAGGAGAGAGACACCAGGGTGGGATGGCAGTCCAAGTAAAAGTACTTGGTAATTTTGCTCACCCGTCTCTTTGCAATAGCTGCCACGTGCTGAGAGTCCTTTTCTGCCCAGGGTGGCCTGTGCCCACAGGACGACTCAGTGCCAGGATCTGAGCTGTGCTAAAGCAAAGTTCTTGCTCTGGTCAGCCCTCATTTAACCCCTGCCTTGAACAGAAATGAAACAGAAGGTGTTCAGTGATGTTTGGTTGAATAAACAGCACCCATTGGAAATGCTAGAAACTTTAGGTTGCTGGGAGGAATTTCATATCCATAGGGGCAGCTGTCTAGAAGTACCTGGTGTACTTTCGGAATGGCGGGGGACAGCACGGGGGTCAGAATGGGTGAGAACTGAATCTGGGAGAATGAGGCTCGCTCACAGTTCTTGGTGCCAGGAGAACCAAGCTACTCTGATTACCTCAGAGAGCAAAGTGACGGATTGAAAGGGCGTTGGCTATCTCACAATGGATAGGCGTGCTGGAGAGCTAGCTTTGGGAAGCAGGCAGGAACCAGGAGAGCTTGTCCACTGAAAATCATAGTTAACCTAGGAAATGCGAGGCTGAAGGAACTGTTGTTCGTGAGGGCAGAGGTCAGATTCCAGAGAAATCCAGGGCTTCTCTTGCTGAGTAAAACCCAAGAACTCATCAACTTCCAATTGGAATAATTCCGTGCTAGATAAGGACACTTGCGTGTTTGTCACCTTGTGTTTCATTCATTTGATCTCTTTTCATTAGCATTGGCAGAGGGATCCACTCTTGACAACTCCATAAGGATAATATACTGAGGGGAGTTTAATGATGCCTCAATGAACTTACTCATTTCCTAGGTTAACTGTGATTTTCAGTATACCCACTGTTTCCTCCTAAGCCTATGAAGTTTAATGTTTATGCCTTCTATTCTTTAGTTAAAATATTTTCTTCTATAATTAAGAGCTGGGGATAGGGAAGCTGAGAGTACAACCAACCTAATTATAATTGGTGTAGATGTAATAGTATTTCAGTCTTTTAATTAAAAGAAAGGTAGGTTTACACAAAATAATACTGTGCATTTATTTTAGTATTTGTTTATTTATTTATTTGAAAGAGCTTCAGAGAGAGAGGGAGAGACAGATCTTTCATTAGCTCGTTCACTCCCCAAATGGCCGCAAGAGCCAGGGCTGGGTCAGGCTGAAGCCAGGAGCCTAGAACTCCAACCGTCTCATACACGGGTGGCAGGAACTTAAGCCATCTTCCACTGCTTTCCCAGGTGCATTAGCAGGAAGCTGGATCTAAAACATAGGAGCTGGGACTCAAACCTGCAGTCTGACATGGGATGTTGGCATCGTAAGCTGCAGCTTAACCTGCCATGCCACACTGCTGACCTTGATTGTTATACATTGTAAGTGGCTTCACTTATGGTACCCAGGTTCTTAAGACATATGCCCCTTGTTAAATAAGGTGGTATTTTTACATAGGAGAGTGGTTCCCAGGATTTGAAAGATACTCCATTAGATGGCTCTGGTCCCTAAATAAACACTATTGTGAACAAGATTAGGGTTTCCATTTTGGAAATGTGTTAATAGGGTGAGAAATGTTTCACAAATGTTCATCTCTGCCAGAGAGGAAATCAAGTGAAAACAAGAGCTAGGGGCCCCTGTGCACACACAGGTGGTAATGCATAGGACTGAAAAAGCACAGCATCTTTCTCTTCCCCACCCATGGTACCACACTTCCTTATGGCTATATAGTGGCCTTATTTTCCCTCCCTCCTGGTTAGCTAATATGTGCTGTCTCCCACTCATTTTCTTTAGCAGTTATACACTGGTGATGGTGTTGAAATGTTATCACTGAAAACATTATGTCTAGAGCCAGCATTGTGGCACAGCAGGTTAAGCCTCCACCTGCAACAATGGCATCCCATTTGGGAGCTCTGCTTCTGACCCAGCTCCCTACTGATGCACCTTGGAAGTCAGTGGAAGATGGCCTGAGTGCATAGGCCCCCTGCCACCCAGGCAAGAGACCCAGGTGGAGTTCTTGGCTCCTGTCTTCTGCCTGACCCAGCCCTGGCTGTTGCAGGCATTTGGGGAGTGAACCAGTGGTCAGAAGATCTATTTTTCCCTCTGTCTCTTCCTATCTCTTTGTCGCTATACCTTTCAAATAAGTGAAACAGATCTTTAAAAAAATTATACCTGTTATATTCTTGGTCATTGCTAAAACTTCCATACAAGGCAGTGATCTGTATTATCTTTCTTTCTCTACTTTTAATAGCATGATTTTGTGTTCTTGGACATTGCTATTGATTCTGTTCCAATTGGAAGACTGGTTTTTGAGGTAAGAGATATTATTGTTGTTTTATAAGTTGAGAGTGGTGGGATCCCTATCTGTTGAAAACTTAAATATTTAATCTTTGAAACCTTCTATCTTTATTTTGTAGCTATACTCTGATGTATGTCCCAAAACATGTGAAAACTTTCAGCTCTTGTGCACAGGAAAAGCAGGGTTTTCTCAAAGAGGTGTAAGGCTACATTACAAAGATTCAATTTTCCATCAAATAGTACCAAATGGTTGGATACAAGGAGGAGGTGAGTTCAAAATCTTAAATACAACTTAATTAAAGCATCAGATCAGAATGTCTGAAATTTTATCAGTGTATCTTTATAAAATATATAAATTAGAAACACTTAATACTAAATACACATATTTAGATGATATTTTATATGGCCAAATGATGAATTCAAATTCCATTTTTGTATTTTTTTAAATCCCTAATAAAATAAGCAAATCTAAATTATGTCACCAGGAACATTCTAAATTAAGAAGTTGTACAGGTAGAGCCAGAAATTGTGGTATAGCCAGTAAAGACACAGCCAGCAACACCTTCATCCATATAGGCACCAGTTCATAACCCAGCTGCTCCTCTTCCTATCCAGCCTGAGAAAGCAGTGGAGGATGGCCCAAGAACTTGGCCCCTGCATCCATGTGGGAGACCCAGAAGAAGCTCTAGGTTCCTGGGTGCAGCCTGGTCCAGCCCTTGCTGTTGTGGCCGTTTGGGAGTGAACCAGTAGATGGAAGATCTCTCTACTCTCTGGCTCTCCAACTCTGCCTTTCAAGTAAATAAAATAAATCTTTTAAAAAATCATATAGGAAAGCACAGTAGCATTTTTTGAAGATTTATTTATTTATTTGAAGGTCAGAGTTACACAGAGATAGGAGAGGCAGAGAGAGAGAAAGAGAGAGAGGTCTTCCATCCGATGGTTCACTCCCCAGATGGCCGCAATGGCCAGAGCTGAGCCGATCCTAAGCCAGGAGCCAGGAGCCTCTTCTGGGTCTCCCATGCGGGTACAGGGGCCCAAGGACTTGGGCCATCTTGTACTGCTATGCCAGGCCATAGCAGAGAGTTGTTTGGGAAGTGGAGCAGCTGGGACTCAAACCGGCACCCATAGGGGACACCAGCACTGCAGGTGGTGGCTTTACCTGCTACACCACAGCGCCGGCCCCCACAGTAGCATTTTTTAAAATCAAAATGTAATTTTAAATACTTACCTAAGTAAATAAAAGGAACTAGAAATACAGGACTTTTAAGAAACATAGTAAGGAGCCGGTGCTGTGGCATAGCAGGTAAAGCTGCCACCTGCAGTGCCAGCATCCCATATGGGCGCCAGTTTGAGTCCCAGCTGCTCCACTTCTGATCCAGCTCTCTGCTATGGCCTGGGAAAGCAGTAGAGGATAGCCCAAGTCCTTGGGCCCCTGCACCTGGGTCTCCCATGTGGGTTCAGGGGCCCAAGCACTGGGGCCATCTTTCACTGCTTTCCTCAGGCTCATTAGCAGGGAGCTGGATCAGAAGTGGAGCAACCAGGACTCGAACCAGTGTCCATATGGGATGCAACTTTACCTATGATGCCACAATGCCGGTACCACAAAATTACATTTTAGAGCTCTTTGGGAGATACTCCATAGGGGGCAATAAGGCAGCAATTTAAAATAACTGGCTTAATATGGAAGGAGATTTGCTTGAACTTGACATATACAGAAACTTCTTTTGATATTTAATTTCATTTTTTGTCATTTGGACCATTCTCAGGGCAATGAGGGGGGAAAACAGACTTCCAAGCAGCAATTTTTCTCACCATTTCTCCGAAGTGAGATCTTTTCACAAGTACTATTACCTCACCTCCTGTTTTTCCACTTAAAATGTGGTATTTATTTTTTCCTGTCAATAAACACAAACAATCTTTGTCTTCCTAGTTTTTTGTAGTATTGCTATGCCAATTTTGTTAATTCCCCATTGGTGAGCCTTTAGATTGTTTTAGATGTTTTGCTAATTTAAAGCAATCCTCTAAGGGGCCAATATTAGGGTCTCCTGATATTCAGTTCATTGCTGAGTCGTGTGCTGGTCTGTGTTGTGTCCTGGTTTTTGGTTAATCCTTGTCTCACTCTACCCCCTGAGCAAGATTTGGAGAAAGTAGGTCACATTATTGTGTGTGTGTGTGTGTAAGTGTGTATATATGTGTGTGTATGTGTGTGTGTATATATGTGTGTATATGTGTGTGTGTATATATGTGTGTGTGTGTATATATATGTGTGTATATGTGTGTGTGTGTATATTTATTTGAGGTAAACCTTCCCAATAGTAAAGTGCACAGGTGAGACAGTAAGGCATTGGTGAAATAAATTTTTTTTAAAGACTTTACTTAATTATTTAAGAGGTAGAGTTACAGAGAGAGAGAGGTAGAAACAGAGAGGTATTACATCCACTGGTTCACTCCCCAAATGCCCTCAATTGCTGGAGCTGGGCTGATCCAAAACCAGGAGCCAGGAGCTTCTTCTGGTCTCCCACACGGGTACAGGGGCCCAAAGTCTTGGGCCATCTTCTACTGCCTTGCTAGGCCATAGAAGACAGCTGGATCAGAAGTGGAGCAGCCGGGACCAGAACTGACACCCATATGGGATGCTGGCGCTGCAGGCAGAGACTTAACCTGCTATGCCACAGCACTGGCCCAAGTAAAATCAATTTGGTAGAAAAATAAGATTGTCAGGGTCAAGCATTTGCTAGAGTGTTTAAGATGCTGCTTGAGATGCCTACCTCCCATATCAAAGTGCTTGGTTCGAATCCCAGCTCTGCTACTCTCTTTCTTCTTGCTAATGCATACTCTTTTTTTTTTTTTTTTGACAGGCAGAGTGGACAGTGAAAGAGAGAGACAGAGAGAAAGGTCTTCCTTTGCCATTGGTTCACCCTCCAATGGCTGCTGCAGCTGGTGTACCACGCTGATCCAAAGCCAGGAGCCAGGTGCTTCTCCTGGTCTCCCATGGGGTGCAGGGCCCAAGCACTTGGGCCATCCTCCACTGCACTCCCTGGCCACAGCAGAGAGCTGGCCTGGAAGAGGGGCAACCGGGACAGAATCTGGCGCCCCGACCGGGACTAGAACCCGGTGTGCCGGTGCCGCAAGGCGGAGGATTAGCCTATTGAGCCGCAGCGCCGGCCACTAATGCATACTCTTAAGAGGCAACAGGTGAGGGCTCAAGTAGTTGAGTCCCTGCCACCACGTGGGAGACCCAGGTGGAGTTCCTGGCTCCTGGCTTCAGTTTGGCTCAGCCCTGGCTATAGTGGGCATTTGTGAGGTGAACCAGCAGATGGCAGATCTCTCTGTCAGTCTTTGTTTTATTCTCTGACTTCTGAGTAAATAAAAATGAATTTTTAATTTTTAAAATCTCACTGTTAGATTCACATCCTAACTCTGACATATACTGGAATAAACTTGACCACCTGGATAGGCCACTTAGCATCTTTGAAGCCGTTTCTTTATCATAAAATGGGGATGGGGGCTGGTGCTGTGGCATAGCAGGTTGAGCTGCCACCTGCTATGCCAGCATCCCATATGGGCAACAGTTCAAGTCTCTACTGCCTCACTTCTGATCCAGCTCTCTGTTAATATGCCTGGGAAGGCAGTGGCCTAAGTACATGGGCTCTCTGGATGAAGCTCCTGACTCCTGCCTTCAGCCCAGCCCAGCCCAGCCCTGGCCATTGCAGCCATTTGGAGAATGAACCAGCAGATGGAAGATCTGTCTCTTTCTCTCTCTCTCTCAAATCTGCTTTTTTAAAAAAAAAAAAAAAGATTTATTTATTTATTTGAAAGTCAGAGTAGTTACATAGAAAGAGGAGAGGCAGAAAGAGAGAGAGAAACAGAGAAAGGGAGAGAGGTCTTCCATTCGATGGTTCACTCCTCAAATGACTGCAATGGCCAGAGCTGTGATCCAAAGCCAGGAGCCAGGAGCTTCTTCTGGGTCTCCCACGCGGGTGCAGGAGCCCAAGTACTTGGGCCATCTTCCACTGCTTTCCCAGGCCATAGCAGAGAGCTGGATTGGAAGAGGTGCAGCCAGGACTCGAACTGGCACCCATATGGGATACTGGCACTTCAGGCCAGGGCATTAACCCACTGCGCCACAGCGCCGGCCCCTCAAATCTACCTTTCAAGTAAATCAGTTTTTTTTTTTTTTAAGTAGAGATAATTAGAATATTATCACAATATCACAGGATGTGGTGAGAATTCAACATTGTGGTGTATTGAAAGTACCAACTTCTAGAAGCAGTCCTCTTTCTTCAGATGTCAAATTCCCATAGGCACAAGTAGCATTTTGGGTACAGGAGCTAAACGTGGTTTCAAGCTATACCTTAGGATGCGGCTGTGTGCTCCTTCTGGCCTTTGGAACCAGTAGACTCTACACTGTCTACACAGCACGCCCTCTACTACTTCCCATCTCCTGCTATCTTCCTCCGCCCGCTCTGCCCCATACTGGCCTCCTTGCTGTTCCTTAGGCACGTCTGGCATGGGTCATCCTTTATTTTTTTGAGGACTTTTTTGTTTGTTTTGCCTTGGATACACTCCTCCCAGATATCCCCACAAATATTTGTTTGCTTCATCCCTGTATCTGTTTCTGATCTTTGCCCAGAGTTCATTTCAGTAAGGATCTTCCTGACCATGCTGGCTCAATCTGCCGCTGTGCCCTCTTAACATAGCTCTTCTCAGCCCTCCCCTGGTATTCTCCTATCACCTTACCTTGTTGTATTACTCTGCATAATAGTTTTTTAAAAATATTTCTTTTGAAAGGCACAGTTACAGAGAAAAGGAAAGAAACACACACACATACACACACTGTGAGAGAGAGACAGACATCTTCCATCCACTGGTTTACTCCCCAAATGGTCACAACAGCTAAGGCTGGACCAAGCTGAATCCGGGAACCTGGAACTTTATCTGGGTCTCCCACATGGGTGCTGGGGCCCAGGCACTTGGGCCATCTTCCTCTGCTTTCCCAGGCCATCAGCAGGAAGCTGGATTAGAAGTGGAGCAGCCAGCTCTCACACCATCGCATTAGGAGATGCTGGGCAGTGTCACAGGCAATGGCAAAACCTGCTACACCATAGTGCCTATCCCTCTTCATAGCAGTTTTCTCCTCTGGACATACTCTTACATACTTTTTACTGTGTTTATTTATTGTGTATTTCTCTTCATTAGAGGATAGATTCCAGGAGGGAAGAAATTTTTATCTATTTTGTTCACTGTTGCATCCCACCTTCTAGAATAGTGCCTGGCAAATAGTAAGGTTCTCAGTATTTGTTGAATGAATGAATGAATGAAAAGTTAAACAGGAAACGTACATTCTCTTTATTTAAAAACTACAAAATTAGGCCGGCGCCACGCCTTAATAGGCTAATCCTCCGCCTGTGGCGCCGGCACCCCGGTTCTAGTCCCGGTTGGGGCGCCAGTTCTGTCCTGGTTGCTCCTCTTCCAGTCCAGCTCTCTGCTGTGGCCCATGAATGCAGTGGAGGATGGTACAAGTCCTTGGGCCCTGCACCCACATGGGAAACCAGGAGGAAGCACCTGGCTCCTGCCATCGGATCAGCGCGGTGCGCCGGCCACAGCGTGCCGGCCGCAGCGGCCATTGCGGGGTGAACCAACGGAAAAGGAAGACCTTTCTCTCTCTCTCTCTCTCTCTCTCTCTCTCTCACTGTCCACTCTGCCTGTCAAAAAAAAAAAAAAAAAAAAGTTGAAGTAAAAAAAAAAACTACAAAGTTAAAGAAGGTATTATAGCACTTTGGTTGGGTTCCCCTTCTGTACTTCCCATAGGCCTTCTACATTCAGAAATATCTCAGTCTCTCAGGATATAATTTACTATTTATTTTTAAAAGATTTATTTGTATTTATTTGAAAGGCACAGTTACAGGGAAAGACAGCGAGAGACAGAGCTCTTCCGTCCACTGGTACACTCCCCAAGTGGCTGCAATGGCCAGGGCTCGGCCAGACCAAAGCCAGGAGTCAGGAGCTTCTTCTGGGGCTCCCACATGGGTTCAGGGACCCAGGCACTTGGGCCATCTTTCACTGCTTTCCCAGGCACATTAGCAGGAAGGTGGATTGGAAGAGGAGCAGCGGGACTTGATCCAGCATCCATATAGGATGCCAGCGTTGCAGGCAGCGGCTTTACCTGCTACACCACAGCTCTGGCCCCTCAAGATATAATTTAATACCTTTTATTATGTCATCCTTACACTGAGCGTGATGATGGTGACAGTGATGACTATGAGAGGGTGTGTTCCATAAGCATGTGGTGCTGCACAGTGATAGACAGCAGCCCTTGGAAGAGTGAACATGCTAGGTAAGGCCGGCGTGGCAGCAGTGGGTTGAACCACTGCCTGCAAAGACAGCATCCCATAATTGCCCTGGTTCAAGTCCTGGTTGCTAATGTGCTTGGGAGGGCAGCACAAGACAGTGCAGGTCCTTGGACCCCTGCACCCACTTAGGAGACCCAGATGGAATTCTGGCTGGCCCAACTTCAGCCATTGCATTCATCTGGGGAGTGAACCAGCAGATTGAAAGTAGATCTCAGATCTCTCTGTCTCAGTCTCTTCCTATCTCTGTGAAATTCTGCCTTTCAAATAAATAATTTTTTTTTAATGAATTGCTTGTACTGAGTGAAAATAAGAGTCTTTCCGCAGAAATTCTGAAACACTGTGTTACAGGTAGGGGTGGATCGGGGAGCCAGAGAAGTCCAGGAGACTAATGGGGAGGCTGGGCACAGCGGGCGGACCTGAGACTGCCGCTGCCACAGGAGTGGCTTGCCTCCCTTCTGCCTGTAGATGGGTTTAGCTATGACTTGTGCATGGAGTCTTACTGTGCAGGGAGCATGATATTAGCCAAAATATGCATGTTGTATAATCACCTATAAAACGTACCTCATTCCATTATAAGTTGTTCCATTTCAGAAATACTGGGTAAATAAATATTATCGGGGCCAGCACTGTGGTGTAGTGGGCTAAGCATCCACCTGCAGTGCCAGAATCCCACACGGCACCAGTTCTAGTCCCGGCTACTCCGCTTCCAATCCAGCTGTGGCCTGGAAAAGCAGTAGAAGATGGGCCAAGTGCTTGGGCTCCTGTACCTGCATGGGAGACCTGGAAGAAGCTTCTAGCTCCTGACTTCAGATCGGCTCAGCTCAGGCTGTTGAGGCCATATGGGGAGTGAACCAGTGAATGGAAAATTTCTCTCTCTCTCTCTGCCTCTCTCTCTGTAACTGTATCTCTCAAATAAATAAATATTTGAAAATAAATAAATATTATCATTTATGGGGTAAATATGTCATAGGGTAAATATAGGAATGAAAATTGAAACAGGAAATTGTTTTAGATCACCTGTTTTTCTTCATGTTCTAAACCAAACTTAACTCTTCCAGTTTAATCTTTCCATTTTTCTGAAAAGCAAGGTGGACTCTGGGATAATTTGTATAGTAAACAGAATTTACATGAATAAGCTTCCCTAAAATCATGTGTATAATCATAATTTAATACGTCATCATTTTAAAGGTTTTGCCTTTTCATTAGACATAACTCAGTTATTCTGAGGGGGGCAAAATGGGATCATGAAAGGAAAAGGGCCTAGAAAACACGAGGGAAATCCTTATAGACATATTCCATGGCTTAGCTATCGAACAGATAGGTAACTTACTCTGGCATATGGAGAATCATAATTGAAAGTATCATTTTTTTTTTTTTTGACAGGCAGAGTTAGACAGTGAGAGAGAGACAGAGAGAAAGGTCTTCCTTCTGTTGATTCACCCCCCAAATGGTCATCACGGCCGGCGTGCTGCGCTGATCCAAAGCCAGGAGCCAGGTGCTTCCTCCTGGTCTCCCATGTGGGTGCAGGGCCCAAGGACTTGGGCCATCCTCCACTGCCTTCCCGGGCCACAGCAGAGAGCTGGACTGGAAGAGGAGCAACCAGGACAGAATCCGGTGCCCCAACCGGGATTAGAACCTGGGGTGCCAGTGCCACAGGCGGAGGATTAGCCTAGTGAGCCATGGCGCCGGCTGAAACTGTCATCTTTTCCCTCGCATTACTCTACTCTGTTTTTCAGTCTCAGAATTCTAATGGGTCTTTCTTGCTGTTTCTCAGATATAGTTGCGGGAAGAGGAAACGACGGAGAGTCGATTTACGGACCCGTGTTTGAAGGTAATCCTGAACTGTGCCAGCTGAGTACTCAGGGGGCCTGCCTAGTTTCACAGCTCCAGAGAAGGGAGTGTTGGGGCAATGGGAGGGAAGACTAGGGAAGGGAAGGCACTCCAGGAGAGAATGATTTTGTATACACATTTTTTTTTCCTATTTGCTAAAGCATATTATTTCTTTAGGATAAATCATTGAATGAGGATTGTGGTGTCAATGGAATTTTTATATATTCACGTATTTGAGGGAGAAGGAGAGACAGAGATCTTCCATCTGCTGGTTTACTCCCCAAATGCCCACTATGGCTAGGGCTGGGCCAGGCTGAAGCCAGGAGCCAGGAACTTCTTCTGTATCTCCCACATTGATGGCAGGGGCCCTAGTACTTGGGTCATCTTATGCTGCTTTTCCCATGCCATTAGCAAGGAGCTGGACCGGAAATAGAGCAGCCAGGACTCCAGCTGTCACCCATATGGGATGTTGGTGCCCCAGGCAGCAGCTTTATCTGCTGTGCCACAACACTGGTCCTGGGAATTTATATTTTAAGGCTTGTAACTTGCCCTGCTATTATTTGGAATTGGCACCTTATCATCATTCTATTAATATTGCTCTTGGGGGGATTTTGAGACAATGGTAGTATTAGCATCATAGCTTTTAACTTTTCCCAAAGCCCAACATAAAAACAGATGAAATAATAGAAAAACTGAAAACCCTGGATAATATTCACAACAAAATAGATGACTGTGTATCTACACGAATTCCAAAATCCCAGGGGTGAGGACAAGCAGGCAGTAGCCATGGATCCATCTGGAAGCAGCATCTGTGTGAGGAAAGCAGGGCGTGTGGTGGGCCCGCAAATCAGAGAATAGCCATTTATTGGGGAGTGCGAGGGGACCTAGGTGAGGTTTGACAAGAGCAGAGCAATGTAACCCTTGTGAGCTCTCAAAGCGGATCTGACCGCCTCTCTCCCAGGGCAGGCTCAACTGTGGAAGAACTGCCAGGAATGGAATCAGAAGTGTAAAAGGATAAAGGGACAATAGATGAAAAAAGGGTGGGAACAGAGCCAGGAAATCTCAGAAAGCAAGCCAGCACTAGAGGAAAACAGCACAAAAGGGAGCTCTGTGAAACTGGAAAATCTGCCCTCCTTCTAAAGCCACACCTCCTTCTACACACTTAGGAAAATGAGCTTTACTTAAAAATGAACAATGAAAATTCCAGGGTTATAAAAAGGGTCAAAAAGCAGAGTGACATCACTCTAGATAACAAATCCACGCTAGAGGGACATGCCTACAGATCAGAGCTGTCACAGGCTGTCTCAAAACAGGCAAAACGATATGAAAATGATATAGGACGTGAAAGAACTCAGTCACAATTAGAAAAACTCCCATTAGGTGACAGACTGAGGAATGAATTAGCAATTGAAGAAAAGCAATTTTGGAAATGAAGAAACTAGAAATAACAAGAGCAAAAAACACAACAGATAGAGAGAGAGAGAGATCTTCCATCTGCTGGTTCATTCCTCAAATGTCTGCAACAGACTGGGCTGGGCCAGACCAAAGCCAGGTGTCTGGAACTACATCTGGGTCTCCCATGTGGGTGCAAGGACGTCAGCCACCTGCTGCTGCTTTCCCACATGTGTTAGCAGGGAGCTGGATCAGAAGTGGAGTAGGGAGAACTTGAAGCAGTGCCTGTGTGGGATGCTGGTGGCAGCTTAATCCGCTGCACCACAACACTGGCCCCAGGAAGGCGGGGCTTTTTAAAAACAGAAATGAGGAAAGATGAAAAGAATTTACAAGCAAGTGATAAAAATTAAAGGTGGCATATGGAAGACAACAAGTATCCCTGAGGAACTAAATTAGTGCAAAGGAGCAGAATGAAGGCTAAGAACTGTAATGAAAGAAAACATCCCTGAAATATGTAAAAGAATTTAATGTTCTATATGCTATTTTAAGTGTGGGTTACACAATATCATGCTGAAATACCTGAAATTATATTTATTAAATTATATATCTTAGATGTTTGATTGATCTTGACTACTATGTATACCTCAAGTATATGTCTATGCCTTGAGTGAAAATATTTATATATCGCAAGTAAAAATGTTCATACCTCAGATAAAAATCCTCACATAAGTATAAAAAATTGAAACTACTTCTTGAGAGAGCATACCATGTTCCCAGCAATATTGAAGTAGACCAACCAACACTGAAACCTAATTTAGTAACATTAAGAGGCATTGAGGAAAAGGAAAAATTATTTGTACCTTTAGAAAAAAAAGAGTAACTAATAAGGGAAAGAAAATTAGGTGATTACCACATTCTCTGATAGCAACATGCCAGAAGAAAAAGAGTAATTTATTTATGATGCTCATATCATGAATGTGAAATAAGGATTTTCTGTCCAGCCAAAGTGACCTTGAATTACAGAGGGCATGCAGAGCTACCAGCATGCAAAACTTCAGGGAAGAGTGTTACCTAATCCCTTCCTGAGCACTTTCATTCTTTTTCTTAATTTAATTTAATTTGAGAGGCAGAGTTACAAACAGAGAGGGAGAGACAGAGAGAGATCTTCCATCCACTGGCTTACTCCCCAGATGGCCACAATGGGCAGAGCTGCGCTGATCCGAAGCCAGGAGCCAGGAGCTTCTTCTGGGTCTCCCACGTGGGTGCAGGGGCCCAAGGACTTGGGCCATCATCTACTGCTATTTCAGGCCACAGCAGAGAGCTGGATTGGAAGAGGAACAGCCGGACTCGAACCAGTGTCCATATGTGATGCCAGTGCTGCAGGCAGAGGCTTAGCCCAGTACACCACAGCGCCAACCCCTTTCTTGAGGACATTCACACAACAGATTATAAGAGACCTTGACATAGGACTGGTGGTGAGCATTAATCCCATAATCACTTGGAGAACTAAAATTCAATGAAGAGGCAAAGGTTAAGAGCATAAAAGGCAATTACTATCTGCTTGAGCAGTGGAGATAGTCTTTTTTAAATGGAAGAAAATGAAGAATACGTGCAAAAATATTAGGAAACTCTTCTCAATAATTGTACTGATGATGACATTATTAGGATTGTTATTCTGAGATTGTTGTAGACATAATGTAAGGTCAGTGAGTAAGTCTCTGATTCTGATTCCATCATCTTCTTTGTCATTTACCATCAGGACTTTTTTTTTTTTTGACAGGCAGAGTTAGACAGTGAGAAGGAGTCAGGAGAAAGGTCTTCCTTTTTCCATTGGTTCACCCCCCGAAATGGCTGCGGCAGCCGATGTGTTGCGGCCGGCACGCTGCACTGATCTGAAGCCAGGAGCCAGGTGCTTCCTCCCGGTCTCCCATGCGGGTGCAGGGCTCAAGCACTTGGGCCATCCTCCCCTGCCTTCCCGGGCCACAGCAGAGAGCTGGACTGGAAGAGGAGCAACCGGGACAGAATCTGGCACCCCAACTGGGACTAGAACCCGGGGTGCCGGCGCCACAGGCGGAGGATTAGCGTAGTGAGCTGTGGTACTGGCCCAATCAGGACTTTTCAATGTGAAAGAAAGAAGAGACTGATGAAATATAATTGAGGCTGATAATTCCCTAATGGGAATTGGAAATATCACCTTAAATCCAACGAGTTCCTTTCTATACATATAGCTCTGTCCACTGAGGAGGCCCACAAACAGAACTGACCAATAGCCACGAGCACCCCCAGCATTTCGACTGTTTTTTTGAAATAATCACTTCTCACTCAAAGAAACCAGGGCTTCCGGGAGAAATGACCACCTCCAGATCTCAGGCAGGAAATGTACAAGAGGAGCCTGGAACCCTGTGTTCCATCAGCAAGAATGCTCTTAGAGATTGCTAGGGTCATATCAGAAGGCCTCGGGAGCCAACTGGAAGAGGCACTTACTGTACAAAGATGGAGTAATTTGAGCTTCACAAGGAATAGTAATTGCATTGATCGAAACTGAACAAGTACTTTAAATCCTTGAGTTCATAATGATATTATGAAATAAAGCCTAATTGTTTACCTCCTAGGCATAACAGGAAAAAATTATTATCTTGAAAATTGACAAACACAAAGAATCAAGCATTTATCCTGCTTTTCCTATATGAACTGTACCAAATTGTAAATAAGAGGAAACATCTCTTTATACAAGAATTCTAGGGGCCGGTGCTGTGGCGTAGCGGGTAAGGCTGCTGCCTGCAGTGCTAGCATCCCATATGGGCACCAGTTTGGGCACTGGTTTGAGCCCCAGCTGCCCCACTTCTGATCCAGCTCTCTGCTATGGCCTAGGAAATCAGTAGAAGATGTCCCAGATCCTTGGGCCCCTGCACCCACGTGGGAGACCCAGAAGAAGCTCCTGGCTCCTGCTTTTGGATCGGCTTAGCTCTGGCCGTTGCGGCCAACTGGGGAGTGAACCATTGGATGGAAGTCCTCTCTCTCTCTGCCTCTGCCTCTGCCTCTCTGTAACTCTGCCTTTCAAATAAGTAAATCTTAAAAAAAAGAATCGTAGGGGTTGGCATTGTGGAGTAGTGGGTAAAGCTGCCACCTGCGATGCTGGCATCCCACATAGGCACTGGTTTGTATCCCAGCTACTCCACTTTCAATTCAGCTCCCTGCTAATGGCCTGGGAAAAGCAGGGGAAGATGGCCCAAGTGCTTGGGTCCCTGCTACCCACATGGGAGACCTGGGTGAAGCTTCTGGCTCCTGGCTTTGGCCTGGCCCAGCCCTGGCCTGGCCATTGTGGCCATCTGGGGAGTGAACTAGTGGATGGAAGATCTCTCTCCTCCTCTCTCTAAAACTCTTTTAAATAAATAAATAAAAATCTTAAAAAAGAATTTTAATTAATAAATGAGAAGGAAGTGACAGAATTAGAACAGCACCGTTTTGCTGCCTCCAGTGTTCTAGTGGATCTAGGCATTTGCTGCATCAGTGTCTGTCAGTGTGACAGAAGTGGAGACCACCAGGGATTCTGAGCATTTTGCTGAAAGACCGCAGCACCCAGGGGATGGGACGGAAATGAGTCTGGGG